TTTACATATAATGAGTGAGAAGGAAGCAGATTCTGAAAACTCTTGTAGCTGTCTGCTGTCTGATACACTTTTAAAAAATTATTATTATTTTTTTTAAGTTGTATTGCCTTGCTAGTACTTGTAATTGGATTAGGAGGGAAATCTCAAACATTGTTTCTGTGCTCCCAGATAATGCATTATGAGTGTTCCTGCGGGACTGTCCCGTGTCACAGTGTCCACCACAGCTATTATGAAATCATAGGAAAAAAGGAGCTTTTAAGAGGAGCTTGCAGGTCATCTGTACGTTCCCTTTGCAGATAAGCAGAAATCACCCACAACACTAATCTTGAAGTTCCAGCTAGAAGATTGATAGCTCTATCCTGACTGTTGGCATATTTTTCTCACTGTCTAGACTAAACCTTCCTTGCAACATTTTAAGTCTGTTCATTTTTGTACTTCTTCCATTACTGTCATTCCCATTCACGAAGATGGTTACTACATATATATATATATATATATATATATATTTGCTTTTATTTTCCCCTTTGACTAAACAATTCTGGCTCTACCACTCTTTTTCCTTACAAATCCTGTATTCCAGAGCTGGACCTGGTCTCCCTGCTGTCCTGTGGGCTCTCTGTGCTTTGCCCACTTCTTTTGGGGGAAAGAGCAGGCAAGCTGGATTAAGTATCCCAGCCAAGGACTTAACCATTGCCATGGAGAGTTGAAGGATTGCTTGAGGATTCTCTCCTAACAAAATAGTTACACAGTTTATCTTGTTGCTTTCTTTTTCTGCAGCAATACAACACGCTCAATAATGATAACTGTCTCACCACCCAATTTAAACCAACCAGAACTGCTCCTTTTTCAGACTGAGAGGAATACACTGATCTTTATTTGAAACTTCAAGATATACTCAAAAAATGTATTTTTCTCAGTGATGGTCCAAGTACTCAACCAAAGTKGTGCCTAAATGTAGATCTGAGATTCATCTGGAAGTATCTGCAAAATAATGTRCTGCACAGGAACATCTGGATCTCATGAAAAATGGRTGTTTTTAAATGAATCCTTAAAGGTACTTTAATTACTACCTCTGCTAAAGAATGAGAGTTGTCAAAAAAAGCATAAATCCAGCACCATACTTCATTTCAGAGTCATCTAGGGACTTAAATTTCTCTAGAAAACCAAGGAGCTGCTTGCATACCTCTTATTTGAGGCATCTTATTTGAGGTCTGACTTTCCCACCCTCAGCATCGCTGACTTTGGCTGGGTAGGATTGATTCCTTCATTTTGCCAGCTCCCTCTGGAACTAGTGCTATATTCCTGGAATGGGAAGGTCCTTTGTGCAATCCTCCTTGCTGCTGGACAGCAGACAGAACAGGGTCCTATGCAGAGTAGAGAGAACATTATCCCCTTGCTGTCAATTATTGTTTCCGTGCAAAAAAAAWTAAGGTTACAAATGCTCCTGTTAGTGAGCAATAATCAAAATTATGTGCATATTTAGCTTCATGAAGACACATCTGACTTGTAGTATTCAAGCACTGGAAATGCAGATACCATCACATCATTAGTGTTTGGGATTATATCTTTGAAAAAATGGCTTGGATTTTGTTTGTTAAGCTTGGCAAAGGATGGATGGAGCAGGCTTTGTGAAAGGGGACAGAAATTGCCCACATTTGCACAGCAGCTTTTATCCCCAAATGAAGTTATGTTGCTATATTATAAACATAGAACATTTTGTAATGGAAATGCTGGCAGACTTTTAATAAAGGTAGTATTATTGTTAAGAATTTTAATATGGAGAAAATAGTTTGTTCTGCTTTTGTTGCTACTTTATTTCAGCTAAAACATATTTATTAGGTAAATTAAAYGAAAAAAACCCCACAAGATTTAATTTCAGCACCTGTGCCACAACAAGTCTTTCCCTTTGCGCTGAGTCTCTGTACTAGACAGAAAAGAACAGCAAGAGCTTTTCTGACAAAGTCACTTGTTCAAACAAAGAGAAAAAACCCTCTTGCCAGAGCCAATGTTCACTAAACTTGGTTTTCATGTGTCAACTGTGGTGTAGATACTACCGAGTTGGTTAGTTTAGGGTTTATTTCCTTGAAAAATTCTCTTCCTGCTTTTTGGTTCCCTAGTATCTAAATTGTGCATTTCTAATGAATGGAAATAAAGAACACATTTTTCTTGTGATAAATATTAGAGACAAATTTTCTAATGTCAAGACACGGTAATTGTTCAGGTCATTTCAGCATTCTCAGTATTACTGTCATTAGTGTAGGGTACTATTTTTAAAGCACAGGTGTACAATTTACCTTGTGCGCAATGACTACTTTTCAAACYATTTTGATATGAAGAATAAAATAGCACTTTCCATTGGAAAAATATTTTGATTGGAGATTACCATCCAGCTCCAGAAATGCAGTCTTTTCTGCAAATCCCCAGGACAACACTAGCAGGGGATTCAGCATGTGATTCTTTTAGTGTCTGTGAATGGTTATTATTCCACTGAAATCAAAGTTGCCACAAAAACTGCCATAAACATGCAATGTTTCTGTCACCTGAAGCTCAAACCAAGATCCCCAAACCCAGCTCCTAAACTTGGCATTTGAGCACATTGCCCTGAAGTAAAAAAAAAAAAAAAACCCAACAAAAAAACCCAAGAGATTAGTGAATGAAGAAAGCACCCACGATAATGGCAAAGCATATCAATTTTGTACATCCACAGGAACACAACAGACGTAAAACAATCTGTACTTATATGTACATGACGATTATTAAACTTTCTGTATTATGCACATTTCTTTTACAATCAGCCAGTTTGTGTCTTTAGAAATTAAGAATGCCTTTTGGAAAGCACAGCGTGCCTCAAAGCTATCCAGAAACACAGCATCCGCAGTAAAGCTGCCTTACTGCCTTTAGCTACTAAGTCTTCCATTTTCTGTTGTTCACTGGCAAAAATAGAAATAACAATATGCAAAATACTGTTGTGTGAAAAAATAACTGCCTTCATATAGCTTGAAGTCTGAAAAATAGGCATGTGGTTTGAACGAAAACTCAGGACTGTGTTTTTTGTAAATATTCCACTAGGTTGAGCATGCTGTGGGTGGCACTGTTGGTGGGCAGATCCGTCTTGTTCCTGGACTCTTGTTGGATTGTCGCGGAGTTGGCAACTCCTTCTCCAAGATGGGTTGAAGCCTTTGGTGAGGAGCAGCAGCAAGGTGAGTGCATCTGCAGCATGACTGCTCTTGCCATGAGGCATTGCCTCCTCTACTTGGAGGGGGATTCAGTGCCTTGGGTTGCACCTTTCCCTTACTTGGAGCTTGGAGGACTTCTCCAGTTAGGTGGATGACTCATGTAGGTAGATATGTTCCGCACACCTCCATTTAAAATATACTGATGACCAGTCCACCTTAGGGTTTAATTGTGGCAGTAAAGGAAAAATTAAATCCAACTGAACAGAGTATTTAAAATTGGTTTCAAATCACTAAGGATGAAATCGTTGTCGGCTTTCGAAGTCTATACTAGGCTGTATTGCAGAATTTGTACCTAAACACTGGAGAGAGCTGTCTGACACTCACTTATGTCAACAGATGTTTGCTGGAAAATTTTAATGGAAGTTGAAGATTTATGATAGAATTGACTTTAGCAATTTATGCTGTGGAATATAAAGTCTATCCTGCAACCCTTCTTGGACAGAGCATGACCAGCAGGATTATGGCCTTTACTTGTGATCTTAAAGTTTACATTTAGCTCAAGCATTTTGTTTCAGATATTCTTTTCTCTTTTGCTATTAAATGACAAGATGTGAATTTAATACTATATTAACTTATTTAAGTTATTATGCAGCTCTAAGGAGAAAAACAGTACGAATGGGATCTCAACAAGTAAAGGAAGGAGGGGAAAGCTTACAACTGTGAAAGAATTCCCATGTTAATTGAATTACAGCTTAAGCACTGAGTTTCCTATTCCTTCCTTCTCCTCTTATTCACCTGCCATGTAGGCTGGTATTTTAACAGCTCCCAGTGCAGGGCTGCTGTGTAGCAGCTGCCTTCTCCTGTCACGATATTTCCCTGTTTGGGCTGGGGCTGAAGCATCATATGTAAGTGGATGAGCAAGGAAAACAGAGGGGCATGGATAACTTTCCAGCTTTCCTCAAAGGCAAGGCTGTGATGTGCACACTGGTATTTCAAATACCCCATCCTTGTATAAAACAATAGCAAAGGAGTGGATGATCTGTAGGGAAAGTTTCTCAGAAAGACGCAGTAAAGAAAACTTTTAAATTCATTAAAAGTTTTATGAACAAAACTCCCTAGCAGTCACAGGTATTCAAAACTTCATTGGCACTGGTCTTTCTGCTTGTAGATGCTTAATGTTTAGCTTTATGTGGAGCATTCATCTAGTCCTTTAGAGTTTTTCAGAACTTGTGTAATGACAATGTCACAATTTCTAATTGCAAATCAACTTTCCCCGGCCCTATTTCTACTGCAGTAATCATACAGAGACAAATGATGCTTTGAATGTACAGGAGATGCTTATTACTTGCAAGACTAGGTATTTACCATGTTTGCCTGATGACACTCACACATTTCCTTCATCTATCAGGGATTCTCAGCAGCACTCAGATTCTAAAAATAGATATTTTTTCTGCTGTGACTTTAGTTTCTTATTTTTTACCTGGGATTCATTACTGCTATGGCTATAATTTTATTAGAGACAAGAACTCATCCACCATTTATCTCTGAATGATCATCATATGAAATCATAATTTCCAATCAAATTTCACAACTTATTTGGGGTGAAAGAATTGTGCCTTAATGATGAACTTTCTGGGCAGAGTAATAGGTTGACAGTTTATCCCATAAACAAATACTCTTAAGGAGCTACCAAACATTAAGTAAAAACTCTTTTGAAATGTCTTCTGAAATTTTTTGAAGCATTTTGAAGAATTGCTATGTTTCTGAAGCGATGATTAAGAATTTGTTATGACTAATTTACCTTCATTTGTTCTATGCATCTGCTAATGGCATGGTAATATTTTGGGTATCCTTTGGAAATCATCAATATTTGAATACTTTAGAGTGATTCTTTTTTTGGTCTTACCAGGTACAAAAAGATTTAAGATGGCATCAAGCTCCTTAAGAGGGGAAAGGGAAAAGATTCCAAGCCAGTTATTTCTTGTGAAAGCTGATACTTCAAAATCTCTGGTTGAATAAAAGTAACTGAAGCAAAAAGTGCTAAAAGTTTAAAACATCAGATACTGGTCCTTTCTTTCCTATTTACTATGGGTCATCTGAAACTGTTGGTATGGTTGTATTGTCACTTCATATGGCTGGTACCAGGAAGTGTGGAAATTATGTAGCTTGGTGAGCAGTTCCATGTTGAGTCGCTGCATGTTGAGTAGGATGGACTGCTCTTCACATCTTTGCATGACACTGTCTCTGTGTCATGCCTGGAAAAGGTTGATGTGGCTTCAATATAATGCGTCTTGTCATCTGGTCATGCYCTCTCACACCATGGCTTGATTTCCACACTTCCACCCTTCTCCCTACTTTGTTCACAAGCAGAACGTGAAATGATGAGTTTGTAATGGTTGCTGTTGAGCTAGGCAGATGTCTCGCCAGATTTTAACGCAACGAGTTCAGAGTCATCTACGTATCTGCCGTTTAGCTGCTCGTTGTTGGAGTCATGATGGTACAAGTAAACGGGGACCTCTGTGATGGATGTTGCCGTGTAGGAGGTAGATCGTGTGGAACAGTGCTCTCGGCGCCTTTGGCCCCACTGTGTTTTATACTGTGTCCATTGCCTTTTCAAGGCTCCTTGTACCTGTGAAAGAAATGCATAATTAGAGTGAGGCTAAATTGCAGCTCCTAAAGTGAAGCCAGTTTTGTTTGTTGCAGTGATAGTTTCCCTGTCCTTTGCTAAGCCATTGGTTGCAAGCACCAGGACCAGTCCCCTCTCTTCCCCTTCCCCCCAGCTCCAGRAGCAAGAGCAGTGCAGTTATTCAGCTCTCTGCTCTAGGTTCCTTCCTGTCTACCCTATGGCAGCAACCAGATYTTCTGCAGCTGTTGATGCATGCAAGCAGAGCAAATGGGCTAGTTGTTCCCATAGGAGGTCAATGTGGAATAGACTGATGTACAGGAATGCAGTAGGATGGAAGTAGGGAAATGAAGGAAGGTTGGGGGTTAAAACTCAACTGATGCTGCAGCTGGATCCTTGCCCCTAATACATCTAATACATCATGAATGCTAATACATCATGATGCTAATACATCATGCACCTCTGCCTTGAAGAAACTTAACCTTGAGTAAAACTAGCCACAAATGGCATATATGTAAGTACACTTTATAAACTTGCCAAGATTACATTTGTACAAAGAAAGATTTGGAGGATTTCTACAGATGAACAGGGATTGGGCTCTCGTCATTTATGAATAAGTTTTGGTAGTTCTGCGCTGGCAAAAAGCCTTGATCACAGCACTGTGCACAGCAGAGAATTTCAGCCTCTGGACATTCATCTTCTAAGAAGGCATCTTTTATTTAACATGTATATTAAGCATGATGTTTTATATAAGGTTATGTTTTATGATGAGTTGTGCAGGGAATAAGAGCCCCTTCTGAGACTGCACATCCAGGCATGCTGGAACCTGCTTGCTCTGTTCCAAGGAAGTGTTGAGACGCGAGCAGGGGGTGGGCAAACCCTGGCTCCTCTCCTTCAATTTAGCCATAACAGCCAAGAAAATGTAAATGCAGAAGTAGTTTGCCATAATAATCTGCTATAAATTACTTCCACCAGAGAAAGGGAGAAGCAGGTGAAGTGCTGGGACTTACAGGAGCATCCTGGAGTTACAATATGCCTCCTAAGGCTGACATTATATGTCAGTTTTTGGTCAGGAAGTTTGCTCAGCAGCCACTCTAAGCTTAATGCASAGAGGTGTCTTTGATTCAGGCAGAAGAGTTTGAATGACTTCAATATTTCTCATGTCTCCACAATTCTAATCACTCTATTAATATGTATATARTAAAGTGCTATCTACTCACCACCCACAGCTGCCTGCAAGAAAGCCATTTCATGTCACCTAAGGACAAAACTTCATAAGGAACTGCTATAAATCTGAGATGCTTACTGAGTGTGCAGTGGGACTATGCAACATGCCAAGAATGGATATTTCATTTGCTTAAGCTTTTTATTTTCATGCCAAGGAACAAGCCAAGGTATGAGGAYTGATACTATAAATCCTTACTCATGCAAGTAGTTGCACTGACTGCAGGATGACTACTTTTTTTTCAGAAAACAGTTATTTGCTACACTGGACATTTAAAACTCACTGAAAACTATGTCCATGCCCAATTTCCAATACTAACTGTTTGGGGTTTTTTTTAATMATTTTCTCAAGACAATGTACTTAGAGTTTTTTTCATCTAGAAAAATGTATTGCTATTCACCTCATGGCAAATAAAGAAAAGAAACCAAAAGCTGAATGTAGGTTAACTAGATATCAAGAACATAAATGGAACTTTAATTACTGGTGTCATGAAAAAGTTTATATATGGTTTGGGAGAGAAGAGGAGTATCCCTTCCATTCAGGCTACGATTAGAAATGCCAGTTGTCAGATCTAAAAGGCTCCATGGACTGTGAGAGCACGAGGTCAAAGCAGCCGTGTTGTTATTCTGCACCAAACTGCTGGACTTTACAAGAATCTGACCACAAATGGGTAGCGGCTGATACAAGCTGCTGAGCAGGAATGAAACAACATGTTAATCTATATTTCTGTGCTAACTCCAAGGATCTCAGATGATCACAGTTCAGTGCCAACTAAAACTAGGTTTTAAATGTGTAAGCAGCATTTACTGAAAATCACATGCACAGCCATAACACATTAACAACTGAGGGCTGGGCAGGATGCTCTCTATGACAGCAGAGGGAGGAAAAGAAAGCCTACAGAAAAGAAGAACTTAAGTTTATTTGCTCTGCTCTTCTCTGTTATATGCTCATGCCTCTTTGGCATACAAGGATATATGACTTTTTTTTTTTTCCTCCAGACTTTCCATTTTTTTGGCCAGCCTTCCAGTCTAAAAGAAATCTCAGGACTGGAAATATGGTCTGGCGAGCCGACAATTGCAAAGACCCTATATCATCTGTGCAATGCTATTTTTATTGGATGGAGAAACTACAGTGCTACTTGACTCTCAGATTTTATATGAAAATGAATAAGAAAACTCATCATTTAAAAAGTACKAAAAAAAGCCATTATTTGTATGTTTTCCTATATTAATGCAGAGAACTTCTTATTCAGTATTTTGGCATTTCTTTCAGCAGATGGRTTTGTTGTGGTGCTAAAGTGAGGTAGGTGAGGTAGCTGGCTGCAAACACTGATAGAAAACACTGCCAGGTGGTACTGAATTTAGCATTGTTTATTCTGGATAAGTTTTTCATGTTTTGGCCTTGAAGATAAATATTCCAGTAGTAAAAAATAAATTACTGAATATGCAGCCTCCTGTGTTACTAAAACTAATCATCTTGCCCCACACTGTATTTTCCCATTCTGTATGGCCTTGGCTGAGGACAGACAGAGCAGCTGGCACATATCCATATCCATTCCTATATCTGTTCACACTACATTCAGCAAAAGTCCTGGGAAATTAGCTTAATTTTCTTGGACAACCTAATTCAAATCAGTACATGATGAGGGCAGGSATGAACACAGCCCCTTTCTCTCCCTTCAGGAGTTGCTAAAGTCACCCTGGTGTCAGTCCGTTGCTACTCCCTAATAGCTTTTATGTCTTATATATCTGCCACTTGTGCATATACAAGAAAAAAATGACACTTTGAAGACAGGGGCCATAGTTCTTTCATTCTCTTTTCTGGTACAGTCCATCACAGCTGGTTCAGTGGAATTAGGCTTGTTATCTATTGATCAACTGCTGATGCAAGTACCCACAGATTGTCCTGAGTCTGTACGGCAGAGGTGTCATCTTGGGTCTCTATCCACCCTAGTGGGAAATTCTAAAAAAGCTTCCCTTTTCTGGTGAATATAATTTCCAATTAGAAAATAATGTGAGAGTTTCTAAACACCTCTGTCATTATTGTTGGGCAATCTGCATGTCTGCAGCAGATGCAATTTTGGAAGCTGGAGTAATGAACAAAAACACCTGAGCACCAACAAAAATCACACTAGGCATGACTTGAGAATCTGAATCTCAACAACTGTTTGTTCCTAGTATTGATGCTCATTAATATTTCTGATCAGTCATGCCAGGAAGAATTCATTAATCCTTGAGGCWGGTTGTAACTACCTGAGTGTAGCCAAGGTATCCGTATGATTACTTATAGGAGCAACACAGTAGAGGTCTGGAAGACACATTTCAACATCAGATTTGTGTTTTCACTTCATTTTGTGCTCTGCCCTTTACAGATATGTGCCTGTGATCACCAAGATTATAAACTCAGGGAGCGTCAGAGATGTCCCCTCAGTGACAACTCAAATCAAAGGCAGATGTCTAGGTCATGGACTTTTACAGGGAGGAACTCCTCCTCTTGTGAGTTGCCAGATGTCTTAGAAAGGCTTTCCGAAGTCAACAGGTGTCGATGACTATTGTCATTACTCAGAGTTTGTATTCAAATTATATATCTTTGGTCTGTATACAAAGCTAGCTGCTGTTACTACAGTTTCCTAACAGCAGCTCAATTTGATGCAGAACTCCACAAAGTAACAAGTGCCTCAGAGACTTAAGTATCATATATGATTATGGCATATTTCCTTTTGCATTCTCAAATAAATGTAACCCAATACTTAATGAGTAAAAGCAAGTTGTGATTATTGTAGACTCAGTTTCATTTCTGAATTGTGGCTTTGKTTTTTTTTCTGCCTAGCACACTACAGGTTAATTAATCCAACAGATAAATTCATTCATACCTGAGCATCTAATTTTCARTTAACTGATACATTTGGTTATAATATTGACATAATTATTGGGCACCTTGAAAATTATATTACTGGAACTGTAAAGATGGATTTTTTTTGACACTTCAGCACTGACAACAGTACTTTAGAAATACAGAATTACAGCTTTCTGCTGAACCATATCTAAAAATCAAGCAGCCTTTAAGAAGTTTTATGTTTTCTGTGCCTTTTCYTGCTGTTTTTTTTCTTCCCACTTTTATGTTCTCATCGTAACTACAGAATTAGAGAACTGATCTTTTACCCTGAAGCTGTAAAATACTAAACAAATATGTTCTGCAAAAACTAACCTACAATATTTTTCATGTGATACTGGGGGAATAAAGGGGAAAGAGGTCAATGTTCAGAACTAGAATTTTGGGGTAGCAACACATAATTTTGAAGCAAGCGATGACATGCAGGAACACTGCCTGTACATAGCTATGCAATTATTTCTACAGGGAGAGAATGTTTCAGAAATTTCCTGGCTGGTTTCCTCTTTCTGCATGCCAATACTTCCCTTCTAGAGAGAATCATAACCCTTTACTCTCTGTATTTCATGAGTGTGGAGAAAGGCCTGTGCCAGTAAAGTGGTGAGTAAGGCAGAAGGAGAAATATGGTAGAAGCCCGCAGAATCCGGGGCAGAAATGTGGTGGGAATAAAGAGCTGGAATATATCTCTGCAACCTTGTTTATCTGGACTTGCCTCTGGAACCCAAGAGTGAACTACTGCAATGTGATATTTAAGGTTATCATTTCATTTTAGGTTTGGTTTCATTAACTGCTCATGGTTTGCTATTCTCTTTTATATCTCCTGAAAAGCCATGCTACAGAATGACAGTGGGAGGGYATCCAATCTTTTGTAGTATTTCATTTCTCTGTACCTTTACTTGGCAAGCCAAAAGCATAGGTATAATGATGTGGAAGCAGAATATAATGCACTGTGTCCTCTTGAAAAACAGCAAACCACTCAGTAGCACCTTATCAATAAGGCAGCTCACTTTAAGTCACTATAAAAAAAGCAGTGTGCTCACATAATTACTGGGAACTTGTACAAGGATAAATATAAGCTTGGATATCTCTTTAGAGTGACATAGTGAACRCTGGCATGACAAATCTTGCTCCAAAAAGGAATATGTGTATCTAATGCAGTAGACTGAAAACTAACTTTTTWAAGTGCTTTCTAGATTTTCAAAGGTACACAGTATTTCATTTTGCTACAGTTAAAAGCTGCTCATGTATTTAAAAACATTTTGCGGCTAACTGTCCTTGGAAAATTACTTGCTGTAGGAATTTAAATGGCTCTTGACATTCTTTAACTAGCCGTTTTTATTGAAACAAGAAAAATCAGTGAAGTGGACCTAAAACAAGTTGTAAGAGGATAAAACATTGATCCCGCTGTAAAAGAACAGGAGACATCTTTCACTCAAGGGCTTTTATTCCTTAATTACTACTTGAGAAACACAGGCCTTAAAAAGGCCAACGCTAACCCCTGAAGGAGTGAAAGCAATTGCACTCCACCAGGCTTCTCTGATCTGAGGGCACTGCTAGGGATGGCCTCTCTCTCTGCTCTATCAGTTTAACCCAGCTTGCTGGTGGTCCAGGCCACCCCTCCGAAAGGGCCCTACTGCTTCTCTCAGGATATTGCAATCACTTCATGTCCTTCATCCAGCTACTCTAGGGCAAGAGGTAAAGTTAAATAGCAGGAAAGGGAGATGAAGTAGATTATTGCTTTTCTCCTTTACCTTGACCTCTATTTTAGATTAAATTGTGCAGGGTAGGGGTGAGAATCTCTCGACGGTACCTCACTTCATGTGGTCTGCTTTGTAAGGATAACACTCCTCAGTCACCCCCTCAGAGAAACTCAGGCCAGGCTCTGTGCAGAGCTTTGAAAAGTGCATGGTGCTGCTTGCATACATAGACTAAAACAAAGACTTTGTGCTGTTTTGAAGTTTGCAGCTGGCCAGGTTTCTTTTCTCTATTAATGAACAACCACCTGTCTATCTATGAAGTTTCTGATCATTTACTGTATCGTGCGTGCTTACCTCGCCATTGAAGAAGCAGAAGATAGTTGCAACAAGCAAGCCCTAAGAGGAAGAAAAATACAAATTTTAGTGTGTGTCACATGCCCCAGCTGGAAGTTTAGACTTGAGAGTCACAGAATAAAAACAGTTCAATTCTTTTCCAACTCAGTTATTTCTTCTAATCTCCCTCTGTATACAGTTACATTATTGTATTGACTTCTGCCTTTTAACTGTTTAACTTTTTCTTTTATATTACCAGCATTTCTAAATCATCCATTTTGAATGTAAAGTTGTTTCTATACAACAAGGAATTTCAGAAGTGAAATTAAGATATTTTGCTATCAGAGCACCTCATTGACACTAATTTTTGTGAGAGAGGGARGAATAAAGGTATAGATGATCCCACTTATACTTTAGGGTGCAGTTATTCAGTTGAAATTAGTCAAGGAAAATTAAATGCCTCAGAAAGCTCTTAAATTGAAGTGCCTGTTAGGATAAGAGAACTTGCTTGGGGTGCAGTGGGATGAATCAGGTGAATGTAAAAAGAGGTCTTAGTAAGGGGAAAAGGAAAGAAAAGTAACAGCTGAAAAGAGAGATGTGGAAAAAAAAAAGATTGAAGGTCCAAGCTTAAACTGCTCAAAATTAATGTAAATAATGCAACAGTAGTTCAGATAGTGTTTCACTATATCTACAAGATCAAATGGGGCCAAGCCAGGAGCGTGAGGTGAGGAAGTAGGAAGTACAAAATTAATAAGACAAAAATTTCTCACATACAGAGCCTGCCATTCAGAATATGTAATTAAATTTGCCCACGTTTTAAATAGTATTAGCTCTCATTAAAATAGCATTACATAACAACACTGGGAGCCAAATTCATTCTTCTGAAATTGCTTAAAGTATTTATAATAAACTAAACTTATGTTTAGTTTATTCAAATTTCAGTTTGTGAAGTTGAGTGAAAATCTGCAATACAGTAGCTTAAATTCCCAAGGGCTACTATGAAAAGTGTTACAGCTGTGTCTTTTTTGTAAGTCCTCATTTATCTGATTACAAGTGAACTTGTAGCTAACACTTCCTGAAATAGATCTTGGACTCTCAAATGTATATTTTGGACCACAAACGTATGTTAAGTGATAACTCCTTTTCACCAAATGCTTATATATTAGAGACACATAGAGGCTGTTTTGAAGATGTGTTAACCACTTGAACATGGGCAATTACTCTGCTGCAGTAGATTTGCTTTCACGAAAATGGGTAATTTGATATGATTTAAAATATGAACACAGAAAAACATATCTAAGGATGAGGAGATAGCATAGATAGGGTGAGAAAAAGAAACCTTCTCATATTTTTGGAATAAAATGTGAATATCTCAGAAATCTCACAAATCCTGTTTCACAATATGCAATAATTCATCAACAAGTCCTGGTCTGAAAACATCATGAAGTTCTCCAAAATCTTATGCCTCAAAAGCAGGACTTCATAGTTCGCAGTAACATCAGTGCTTTCATCACTTGCTAAATTGTAAGTGTTTATGAAGACAGCAATCAGCCAAGATGGAAAATGAGATGGACCTTCTAATCCTTTGGGATTAGAAACTGCCAATGGGTGATCCACATGAGGCATGACAGCCATAAAAGACAGTACACAGAGAGGAAGAAACAGAAACGTTTTTCAGAAGTCTATTCTTTAACTGGAGAGTTTAGTCAGAATTTGCCAACTGGAGGTCACATTAAGGCAGAAACTGAATCTGAACAACTGTATGGTATCTGCAGACCTCTGTTACATCCTACAGTTGCTCTACTTCTTTGCTTTTCAAGCAGTGGGTATTTTCCTTAACAAGTGGGTTTCTTTTCAAGGCATCTTCTGATAACAGTGCCGAAGAGGAAGACTTGGTGATGCCTCATCCACCTCTTCTGTTGAGAGCAGATCGGGTTCCTCATTCTCTTGAGGCTGTGGATGACGTATGTCTCTGCTATTTTTCTCATTTTTGCCCCACATTCAGCTCCCTACTCTTCTCCCAAGACACGTAGCCCCCTGCGACCTGACAGCTGAAATGATTTGTGTTTGTTACTGAACCTGATTTACACTGAAGAGGAAATCTCCATAACAGCCACACACAGTGATGGACGTCTCTGGAAAACTTCTTAATATATGTAATCTTGAGCAAAATTGGAACTATTTACATGTTTTCCTTTTTATTTCTTGCCTGCCATATTTCCAACATTAAAGGCTACTCCATGATTTTGTTTCTTTTCTCCTTCCTATATGGATATGAAATGTCTTACAATCTTACTTCCAATTCTATCTTAAAATAAGTAAGTCTATTATTTCAGTAGAATAGAATTCTTTATGTAGATGGTGACGAGGATTCTGTTCATCTGCAATTTGGGAAAGTTTTCCTGTTTTAAAGTGATATATTCACTTTAGTACTTCTTATATAATAGCCTTCTTTGTAAGATGGACAAGTGGGAAGAAGTAGTAGTGAAGAAACTAACTCAAAACCTAAGCGTCCTCTGAAAGGCTAAAAATAGAAGAAAACAGACAAATGGAAAATCTGTAGTATGAAGTTATAACATTGAATGAATTATAGCATTGAATTACAGCATTATTATAGCATTGAATGTGCCCCTCTCGCAGCCATACAGAGAACAACAGGCCACCAGGCCATGCCCATTGCTCCATGACAATTGCAAGGGCTGGCACTACGTCCTGAGACTCCTGGCACACCATCGTGGGGACCTCATTTCTGCAGCTCCATAGGGATGGCTCAATGCTCTTACAGAAAGAACAAGCTGGGCACAAAGTTCTTCTTCTCCTCTTGCCTTTTGATAGGTCTATAATAATATACAAGAAACCTGATATTTTTATGTATAAATATATTTTTATAGATAATATATATAAATATATAACACTGACTATATGTTTAAATATTATTTTGTTTTAATTTTATCACATCTACATGCCTATAAATATGTTTCATATTAATATTCTCAATAAAGTATTATTAATACTTAATATTAGCAAAACATATCAAATATTAATATAAATATTAATGCATTTAAATATGAATATATAAATTTATATATTCATAAAAATTGATAAACTGCTTGGTGTTTTTAATGAGAGTAAATATTAAAATGGTTCTRCATGTTGCCTGAATTTTAGCTCATATATCAAGGCTTCAGGGTTATTATCTTGATTGAGAGTTGCCATCCCACTGGGTTTGGTAAAACATCTATATCACTAAGCAAGGGGAATCTTTGGCCTTGCCAGATCCTTCATGCCTGTTCATCTCTATGATGCCTTTATTGTAACAGTCAATATGCTTTCAATCACARTCCAAAAATACATGCTACATGCTACATGAATAGCTATTCATGCTACATGAATAATTACTTGCATTTCTAATTCTATTTTTTTCTGATTTATAAACAGAATTCTTCCCATAGCTCAGTCTTTTGTGTACCTTCAGCTGTAAAGCTATGCAGCTGCAGAAGCAGCTAATATCAGTAGCATTTCTTTTTTCTTGACTAGAGGACTGGAGAAGCACTGATATTACAAAATATTAAAATATATGAGAGACTGGATATGGATTATCTGTTTCATGGCAGCCCACAGGGTAGTCTTATATTTGTTTTACATAAATCTTCCTTTTTTCCCCTTTATTTGCTGCTTTTTTTTGCACACGGTGCAATCCTTGCCGAGGATGGGCTGTCTAGGTCAATTATGTCTCTCTGCCACTGTGTGGAGTTGTTAAACTGACCTGTGATATATTGGCTGCTGATAGTAGGATAATGATGGCTGTGGGATTGAAGGGAGATATGAGGAATAGTTTTACTTTGAGACTAAGGCCTTTCGGAATTCTTTATTTTATTTCTGGAACTTTGTGAAGACCAGATGAACATGGCTTTCTACTGAATCATGTCTTAGGGACTGTCCAGAGTCTGCAGATCTGAGAACTTGATGTACCTTATTGACCAGACAGTGTGCTTTTTTCCCTGCATTTAAACGCCTGTATTGGTCCAAGGACATTCTTTGTTTGACAGGTATTTGATTTGGTTTACACTGTCTTACAAGATGTGTGTCTAAAATGATATTCCAATAATTTGTTCTTTTTTTTTTTGATTTAAAAATTTAAGAACAATTGTTAAAAAAAAAAAAAAAAAAAAGGTTTCCCAAGTCACATACCGAAAATTGAAATTTTGGATAGGTTTCTGATATCTCATTTGGGCTTCTTCTATCTCATGTTTCCATAAAAGCAACATAGATCCTGTATGAAGGAGCAACTATATGGTCCCAGTCTCTGTCCTAGTTATACACAGCATGTCCTGAAGGCTTCAGTGGGATTCATGATCGATAGTAGAGGCTGAAGACAGAGGCCTTCCCACTATGACTGGTATGATCCAGTGTTTAAATTCCAAAGCATCATGTTGGATGTCAKGGAGAGAGGAGAGCTGATGGAAGGAGTCTGGGAGTGGGAGCTCCTTGGAGAGCATCTGGCTGGGGAGGGCTAGATGAGGGCTTAATGTATATATATTGGGAGTACTGCATTTCCCTAATATTTCCCAGGTGCAGGCAAGCCCCTTGGAGGTGTCAGGCATGAGCCATGTCCGTGCTGTCCTTCTTCATCATAGAGACCCATCAGGCTCCTCAGTATTGTTATATTTCCCTTACACACAAGACACGGCTGCTGCTGTTCCATTCCTTCATGAGAGGCAACCTATTYGTTGCATTTTGGTTTTGCAGGGCAGTACAGTAGGATGATAAGTAGAGGCTTTGTAGTGAATTTCATGGATATATTTTGTGAGAGGTGTGCAAAGAGCTAGTACATCCCATGCAGGAATGTCTTACACCCTGAACAAAAGTCCATCCTTCATAAGCTTTCAGCATCATTTAATGGGCTTTTGAAAGTCAAGTCCTCTAGAGAAAATGTGCTAATTTTCTCTAGAATGAGCTGTTCTGTAATGCAAATGTTTGCTTTACAGTGCCCACTTAAACTACCTCTGTTTAATTAGCTAGCTGCATGTTCATCAATCCGCAGAAAGCACACGTTATTCCACTTTAGGATTGAAATATCTGTTTTTTTGCCTCATGAATTCTTCATTTCAACAACATGTGAGCCTGAAGAACTCATGCCAGGGGTGGTGAGGGGAGTTACAAAACTCTGCTTCTGCATCTGCAGCATTTGCACCCATATTGGGAGTGCAAAGCCAGTCTTCAGTTTTTATAACTTAGTACAGACCCACTCAGTGGATCTGTTAAGGTGAATCAGGTCTAGGTAGAACGAGCAACACAATCAGACAAAAGGGAGGCCTTTGCGAATTGCTTATACAGCCATATTTGAAAAAAAGCAAACCTTCTGCCTAAAATGGTGAGCATTAAGGGTAATATTGCAAAGAGGGCAGAACAATTCAAAGCCAAACTGGCTTCTGCTGTGCATAATTGACTTTAGCAGGAGAAGTCTAGCAGGTAGCGTATTTTTGCAGCTGAGAACACCACTCTCTGAAGGAAATACTAGTCCATACTTTCATCTGGGAGCAAATTCTCTCTCATTCACTGTCTTCAATCATTTGATTATTATAATAGACCACAGTGCTGGTTTGTATCTCTGTTTTGTGCATCGCTAATCTATCAAATCATTGTGGTYACTTAAAGCAGGGAAGTACTGCTGAAAAACTGCCTCTTTCTCTTCGAGAAAAGGTATAGAAAAAAAATCATCATTTAACCACTTTGAAGATGAATGGAGAATGTGCTACATTAACCACGTGAAGAAATATCATAATTATACCCATAATGTCTGCTTGTAAATGCCTGACATACACTGCTGGATGCAGAGATGAACAAGTTGCTGCTAGTTATGGAGAGGCAGGCTGCACTGCAGTTTATGAGGGCAAAAGAGCCAGGGGAGGAATATCGCCATTACACACACTAATGCAGTATCTGCTAATTACATAAGCACTCCTAGAAGAAAATGAACACTAGAGGAAGGATAACACAGCTGTCTGTTTTAAACATGCATGCAAGAAATGTTTGGGAAGGGAATAAGAAGGTTTATTTCAGAATACAATTATTAAAGTCTGCTTTATGAAGAAAAGAGGGAGTCRCCGATAGTCACAGACAGTGGGTGAACTCCATGTCTCTCATGAAAGACCAGTTTTTACATACTGGCCTAGATACATTGCAGCCAGTAAAACAGACAACCAGACATTTAAAATCATTTAGTGTTAAAAACAAAGAGAGAAAATAAAATAGTTCTAATTTAAACTGTTAAATGCTTGAATTTAACTCTTAAATTTCATTGCCATTGACAGTTTCATTGTCTTCACTGCACATTCCTTCCATACAACACTTTTCATATGCAACTAATTTTAATATTAACCTCATGGCAACAGTTTCAGTCAATTTGAATGCTGTGGCAAGAATAATGTTTTGAACATTATTTAAAGCCTTCTCTAATCTCAGGTTTCTCTATTTAATTCAGAAMTAGTGCTATCTGATGATTTTGCTGCATTTTTTCATTGTTTCCTCTTTCTTGTGATTGTTATTTATTCAACAATATTACTTTTGCAGAGGAAGATAATCCAATAATGTAAAAGTGATTGGGAAAGAAAAACAAAACCAAAATCACACTCACTTTCAGGGCAAAACAGCTGGCAACACTGTCTTTGGCTATATTAATCTTATACAACTGCTAAGTACAAATTTAGCCTGCTATTATATAACATACCTGGTAATGCATTAATATATGCATGATGTAATCATATATTTCTCCAGCAAGTCGGTTTTCTGGTCTCCAGGGGATAATAACAAACTGAATTCCTAGTAAGGGCACCAGGATTAAAGTAGCTCTGACAGCTTTCATATACATGTTGGACTCAGCACGGTGAGTATCTCTTAGCTTTGTCACCAAAACTCGGACAATGTTAAGCAAAAAGAAAAAATTGACCTGCAAAAGCACAGAACTTATTGGCAAAGCATTCAGATTAAGCAGGCATTCAAAATAAAAACATAGTACATGTGTACAACAGTACATATAGAACAGTAAAGTATAACTTTCCAGCTTCATCAAACTCATGAGGGGCAGCTCCTTGAGTGTCTGGCATTGGAGAGCAACCTTGAATGTCTTAAGAGTGTTAAGCAGCTCTACATGAGCTCTGCTGAATGGATGTGCCAGAATGGATGTGCCAGACCTGCCTGAATGGATGTGCCAGACAAGTTGGGCTCCCTTCTGGAAAGCAATGAGTTATTTTGACATYGCTTTGGTCAAATGTGAGACTTCCAGGGCAAAATTCACCTAATGTCTACTCCAAAGTCTAACAGAGTGCAGATGATTGCCTTCAGGACTGACTGTCTCTATTGACTCTGAAGATGACTTAGCTGTCTTGCTTCATTCTCCATTGAGGGCTATAGGCCCGTGAGACAAATCTCCACTGTGTCTCTGGGCACATGGGATGTATGCAGACATATGCATTCTCYAAGGAACTTGGGCTGGCATACATAGGCCAATATTCAAACTCTTGAGAAAAATCTGGGCTTAACCTTACAACATAAAGCCCATGCTACTTCCTCCACAGGCTAAAGCAAAAAGTGCTGGCTCAAGGCAGAAAGGCTGAACTTTTCAGAAAGTTTGACKCTTCTGTTTAGTTATTCTGACTAGCTTATTTCCCAGGTCATTTCTGGAAAGCTGGATTCAGTTGCAGATGCTCAGTATATGAAAACCCGCTCCCGACTCTGGCTTCACAGCGTGTCCCTGGGAGCCTGGGACAGGAATAAGCTGGGTAAATGCATGATGAAAACAATTCCAGAGGGTACCAGCTGGATATCATAGATATCCCAGCCTGTCTCACCATCCAGCGTACTCAGATCATTTTTTCCTGCCCTRTTACAACAATATGTGCACATATGCTTCTGAATTTTAAAGGACTTCTTTTCATATAATGTTTTAAAATAAGTATTCTCTTACTGCATAACTGACAGTTATTTTAATAGCCAATGCTCCATAAATACACAATGAATTTAATCTGGACCTTTCAGAACAATAAACCAYGAAGCAGTAACCTTTAATAAGCCATTTCATAAATTCTTTGCCACTGAGAAATCTTGCAAATATTTTAYATTCATGCTCTACTTGTAAAGAAAAAAAAAGGAATAATAAATGACTTCTGAGGTCCCATTCAGCATTAAATCTAAAACTTATTCTCCATCCTACTCTGACTTCACTCACATCATAGCTTAACCTTCACTTTTAGAATTTCTTGAGATAATTATGAAAGTTGGAAAAAGATTTTACAAAGGTAAAAGTTTCTAGATCTTCTGAGTCAGTCCGTAACTATATAACAAATCATTTAGGTTGTTCTGTAAAAATTTCCATTTTCACAAGAAAAATCTGCCTGCAAATGGCATCAACACAAGTCAGAAATTAYAAAATCTTGTTTTAAAAACAGTTAAAGATTGTTCTTTTTCCATAAAATACAGACTTTGTTTTCTTTGTGGTTAAGATGCACAAATTTGGAGTCGGGTGATGGCCACATGGAACAGGTGGAATGACCATCCCTAGAACTGGTACTGTGACAGCAGAAGCAATGCACAGTGAACCAACAACCCATAATGTAATTCTTAAAAAATGGCAGACTGTGAATAAGGSGTGAGGCTTCTGCTTCTAAGCATTGCTGACATGCAAAAATGCTTCTCAAGAAAGGGCAGATTTTCAGATTTTTCAGATACTCTTACATGGCGGGTTGTTCCTTTATTTAGAGATATTCCATGTGTTGACTATCCTACCACTCATTCATTATTTCATGTGTATAACTGAAACCTCTCTGCATGTTGCAAGGTGGTCAGCTCCCCTGCACTAAACTGGCACTGCTGGCACATAATGTCCTGCGTATGCACATGAGAAAGTTGTGCCTTGTCCTATGTTGCTCCTACTGTGACATCCCAGTCCAGACTCTTTCCTGGCCTAGTTTAGCTCACTACCTTTGGACCATATAGTGTAGAGACCAGTAAAATCAGTGCAGAGCAGCTGGCTTGCATTCACTCACAGTCTGTCATTCAGCGTTTGTCACAAATAACTTACCATGGAGGAGAATGACAGCTGTGGTTTTTAAAAAGCAGTGAGTGATTCTCTTTGCCTCAATATCTCATTCCTTACTGGAATCCTACTGTCTTCTTACTGGAAGATCCCTTTACAAATCTGATTTTTGGAAAATATTAAGAGTCTGTTCTCTTAATATGTATGTCCTTTGCAACAGAAAAAAACACCAGCTACTTTTCAGGTTCTACCAAAATACTTAAAATACACAGACTTATATTCTATGCAGGTTACCAGCATTTCTGAAGTAATTGCCTTCTGAAGTAATTCTGAAGCTGTTGGTAGAAAATAATATTCTTACCAATAAAGCTGCCATTACAGGTCCATGAACAATATAAAGCAAGTGAGTGTCAACACTCATCCAGCAGCTGTAAAGGAAATGCAACATTAAAAATATACCATTAATTCCCATGAATAGTCTTACATAGTCAAAGCTGAGTTACTTCAGTAACTGTCATACTACTCACTTGTCATTGAAGTATTTGGCTCTTGCAACAGCGTGAATAGATGCTGGCACCAAAGGGAAGCCTGAAATGATTAAAAACGTAATTAAGTCTTGGCATCTTTTTGGCTGCAATTCCACGTGGTGCACACACCAATAACCCCTCTTCACTTTTATATATGTGTGTGTGAAATCAAAATGAAATCATGAAAAAATGGTAATCCCAGAAAAWGTGCAGAGCCAGGCTGTGTATGGGAATGGGATTTGGGCTGTCTGCTCTCTGTGATTCCCACATCGGCAGAGGGCCCATCCGTGCATGCTGATCCCACATCTCCTGCCCTGGCTGTGAGTCTCACGCTGGTGTTAAGCACAGCAGGCATTTCCTCTTGTGCCCTGCTTCCTTCTGCTTGCTTGCACATTGCCTCCCTTTGCAGTAGTCTAGAAATCTGGAATAACGGTGCCTGCCCTAAAATACACCACTTGGTAAAACCTTATGCACACCAAGAGCTGGGCAGTGGGCATTTGTAACACTGCCCTTCACAGAGTAMTCCATGGGCACATTCGGGGCAACTGCTCCCTATAAACCATGCATGCTTGATCTGAGCTGTGGATATTTTATAGCTATCAGCAGGAACGAATGTAACTGTCCTGATGATCCTTTAGTCACAAGGGAGGAATGTGGTTCCCTGTTTTTCCTGGGTGTGGGCATGTTCATAAACACTTATAGAAGAGAAAGAGAAATCTTAGCCGAATTCTCAGGGATTCATACCTCTGGGAACAGGCCAAGTAAACCTAGAGTGAGAACATGGTCAAAAGAAGTATGTAAATAGAGTACTTGTGTCTCCAGGTATCCTTACTTAATAGCTTCCTACTTTGCTGCCAAAAGAAGTTCTTATGATAATTTAGCTTGGAATGATGGTGCAGCTGTGAAAAGCACATCTCTCATCTTCTCTCTTGTGATTCTTTGGCTTCTGGTTTCAGAATGCCTTTTTAGGGTGATGGTGCATGGCAGAAAAACAAAAAATTCAGTAGAAGGAAAATAGCTTCTGATCTTGGGGGGAGCTAGTAGGACTGACAGCTTGAGAAAATCCTTCGATTTGGAGAAAGTCTGAGACAGTTTTGCTGACAGATAACATAGATGGAAGTACAATTTTTAAGGGGTCATTCTGCAATAGGAAAATGTTTTCCTCTTAGAGCTTTGGCCTGTAGTATTGAAGTAGAGTGTTCCACATGATGAAGGGATTTTTTTTTGTCTTCTGCTAAGTGCATTAGCCTAGAATATTTGACTCAACAAATTCATATGCATCTCTTAAGAATGCAATGGAAAGTTTTCATTAGTTAGTTACAGAGCAAGAAGCTCATGACTGTCCAGAGCTCAGACTTCCAGCTGCAGGGCACTCTGCAGGGCTGGATGCTGTCGCTCCTTGCCAAGGGCCAAGGAGGGTGGCTGTGAGAAGCGGAGCTCCAAGAAGACCCGCTGAGTCTTGGTTGCCTCGTGGGGCAMAACTCTCTGAAAATGGTTGTGAAGAAGGGAGACGATGCCTCAGACCTTACTTTTCAGACCAGAGTGGGTTAGATGCAGATTGCAGGGTCAATCTGCATAATACCTGGAAATAAGGCAGATGTTGCAGCCCCTATGTTCATTGAAGAGGCAGTGAACATCCTTAGGCACAACACRTCACACCAGGCACCTCAACTACACATCAGGGTGTGAGCCACATGAAAAAGCTTTCACCAGCCATTGCAGGAGGAGGTAAGACATGTCCCTTTAAATCATGCCAGTCTCCAGCACAAAATGGCAATTATTTGCATTTCTTTTTGAACYTAGAAGGCACTTTGTTTCCACCGCCCAAATAAACAATTCCCTTTTGAATTTTAGATGGATGAAGCTGCTAGAGACATTAAGTCAATAAGGACCTATGTTTCAGAGGAATGCAAGTGAACTCCCATAAGAGCAGTTGGACAGTGGATAAAGAGCCACCACTTGCTACTTCACCGCACCAGTAGGTTTTKAGATACGGGGATAGGCTCACGAGGAACTTGAATGAGGCCAGAAACTCATGTAATGTCACTGTGGGAAAGCTGCTGTTAGTAATGACTTAATGCCAACATGTTGTGGAATTGTTGTGGATTTCCAATGCTGACTTAAACGTGAAAGGGTTCACAGTAATCAGTAATATACTGATTGTGTTTACTTGGCCTTCTGTTGAGTCAGATCATCCAAAGGTTAAATATTTGTTGTAGCTACTACCTAAAGGGCAAGGTCTCCCCTACTGCATATTTGGAAATGATAGACCAGACTTAGTAAAGTGCAACATGTGTGTGTGTAACTACAGTTTGCATTCATAGTGTGTGGGTTTGTAACCTACCTTCAAGATGATTGAGATTTGCCTAATTGACACCTATAGGTTTCTCTGAAATTCTTTAGAGACCATTGCTGTCAGACAAATCCAGGAAAGCTGTGTAGGTATGGTATGGTATGGTATGGTATGGTATGGTATGGTATGGTATGGTATGGCATGGCATGGCATGGCATGGCATGGCATGGTGTCTTCTTTAAAACAGTATCTGCCAAAGTATATCTGATAGTTTGATAGCCCCAGAAGGGCTCTGGTTCCTCTTTGTATATCTGCTGTGTTTTTCCATTCTGGGAGACATAAATACTGATTTTCCTCCTCTTCATTCCAGAATAAATATACTTTTATAGGTCCGGTGACGGATTAATATTTTTGCAAATAACATGATGAAAATAGAAAGGTTTTGTTGATGAAAGATGTTTTTGGATAGAAATCTACTTCTCTCCCAAAGGTTTCCTTAACAAAACTTAAATATTTCTTTCAGCAAATCCCAAGATCCAGAAAATAATAGATACCAACTTCTATTGATTTTTATGAGTCTCTGGTCGCATCCAGATAAATGGAATTAAATACAGAACTTAAGAGCCCAATTTTAGGCTATGATCTAGTACTATAAACACAATATTCAGGAGTGTAAATGCTAGAAGAATTCAAATGTTTTTTTAAAAAAGACCAAATTGCTACAAACTCTAACATACATACCCCAGCCCAAGAGGTAATACCAGTGTAAGCGCTGCTCTTCAGCAAACACTGCCACCACAATTAAAGTGTGGAGATAAATGCCTTCGCAGAGCATCCAGAAGTAGTTGCAGCCCAACATGTACTGATGAAAGAACTGCAGCACTTTGCAGCTTACCTGTTAGATACATGAGATAATGTTATGTACTTGACCTGGATTTTTCAACTAAGCAGGCAAAGACAAACATTAATGCTACATTATAAGAAAATAAAGTGAAATAAAAATCTCCAAGTCTTGCTGGGTTTGTTCAGAACATATTGGTGATGAGGACTTTAAATTTTAATAAATGAAACAAATAAATCTTTTAAAATACTACATATATGTTATATATATATAACAGCACTCCAAAAAGTACTATGTAAAAATAAAAATCCATTAATCCATTGCAAAACTTGGCAGTCTGATAGATTTTACAATTCAAGCAAGGAATTTGTTCTGCAAGTACAAGAAAGGCTGCAGAAAAGGAGACCTAGAAATCCAGTCGGGATGTTTTCATTTACATTTAACCACAGTTTTCTAAGACGTGCTCAGCTCTCCCTTATGAGTCAGAGTCATTCACTCTTTAAACTGCAGCCAGCTCAGAGCTTGCCGCTTAGCGAAGGAGAAGTACTGTTGGCAACGGAGATTTTTTTGGTTAGGTACCAGGAATACTGGCTTGGCTTCTTTGCAAGAAGACAGTTTTACTTTATTTTGTTCACATAGCAATAGGACACATGAAGATAAATGCAGTCAGAGAGGTAAAAATAGCCAGGCTGTGCTTTGGTGCCACATTTTGTAAAGGCTCTTTTTGCCTTTGCAGCCACAGTGCAAGAATTGAACCTCATTTAAAACACCTGGGCTGTGGTGCCTTTGGGTTACATTCAGGTGAGAGCGGCACTATCCTGGCATGGTCATGTCCTGCTGCTCTACTAAACATATGGCCTGGAGACAAAACTGGATAGCATCATTCCTCCATTTGGGCTTCTTTTCCATGGAGACCAGCTGACATGGGATGGGGATGCTTGCTCCAACAGAAAGTTGTGAAAAAGTTCACAGGTGACCAGGTCTTGGGGAATGAGGAGGTGGGAAATGGTTCCTGCCTGCGGTGCAGATGCAGATGAGGTTACAGAGATACATCTTGACAGGAGATTGTGGTTTTGATGTGCTGAGAACATTGCAGGAATAAACCTGCCACGTATGATCCCAGAGAGCCAGTTGGTGTGGGACAACGTAGCTTCTCCTTGAACAGGGGCCACCCGCTCCTCCGAGCAGCAAGGCCAGTCCAGTGGCTCATCAATGGTAGACTCCACAATGCAGACTACAGGCCCTGTACACGTGGGTCTCCTGTCCCCCAGCATCCCAGGGGCTCGGCATGAGGAGAGGTACCACTGGGCCTGCCAAAGCCCTGGCCATTGGCAGGGGACCCCATGCTCATTGGACATCTGGTGACAGCAGTGATCGTGGTATCACAGCTGCCATTTGCAGCCAGGAGAAAATGCTCCTTCCTCTTCACTTCCACGTTGAATACTTGGACTGTAAGAGATGGTTTTAGGATTTGCTTGCCTCTTTAAAGGAACTCCAGTTTCATCTGTTAAGCTTGTAAAGCACTGCCTATCCTGTACCTCTGTGGAGGACCCAGGCTGCTACTCTGGACCAGAAAAGCTTGTTTCACGGCCAATTCAATGAATTGCCATTTTTGCTAAAAAAACCTTCAAACCACAATGACCAGACAAAGTGCATTTATTTCTGTTTTGATATTTAAAGTACAGATTGCTGCTTGTGATAATTTAGGATTGATAAGATTAACATAAAAGACTGATTTTTTTTTCCACACACCATACAGAGCAGAGTGGATGGCTGCTTTTTCTTCTATCACGTTGTATGAAAAGCATGCAGAAAAAAGGGCTGTATGCAAGTGGTCTGAAAAGATATAAAATAAACAAACAAACAAACAAAGACCCAAAATAAAACAAAACAAAAAAGCTTTTTTCTCTATTAGCAAATGTTTAAAAGCCTGTTTTTAAATCATCCTTGGGCTGTTTTTCATAGGTTTTCATAGGTCGCCTCGTCTGCTCAATACAGGCCCCCAATTGGTCTTTCTCCATTGCCCCTTAATCAAWCACCCCTCCTCTCAAGAGCTGCCATGACTGGCAGATACACTGTGCTTAGCAAAGGCTGAGCTTAATTTGAGCTGGCACTCTCCCTGACATAAGCCAATTAATGCCGGCATGTAAAATGTGCATTAAGTTTCTGCATGAAAATAGACGTTTACTGGACAGGTTTGGTAAAGTCAGTCACTTTGGAAACAGTGCCACACTGCAGACCTGACAGCCTCAGGTGCGCAGAGCTGTACTGGCGAATTCTGCCATAAAATCTATAAACTATTCATTTAACTTAATGCCTTCACTGTTTCATATTTCCCAGCTGAAAATGAGATGAATATGGAATATCCTTTCTTTGCTAGATGTTTKCAGGTGTTCACCAATGCTCTAAACAGATTAACTGAACATGTAATTTGAACAGAATGATTCCTCGTTGAATTTTTATCTGTAGCTCAAATATATACATTTCAAGCATTTCTTGAACATGAACGATTTTTGCTTCTTGGAGAAGTCCTTATCTTAGACTTCATTTCCTCAATATTTCTTTCTTTCCCGTTCCGCCCATGTGAACTATCATTTGTGGTTTTTAAAATAAAATTTTATTTTAAAATAAAACATATCTRTCTTTCAAAGTAACAGTCATGCAGACAGTTCATGATTGCCTTGAGGAATGCAATCCCTTGCCATAAAAAGTAAGTTAAAAAATGCCAGTGGCAAAGCATGAGGAATGGGTGTGATTAGTACTTGGATCCATATCACATTAATTTGAGAATGACGATGAAAGAGTTAGCAGGAATAGGTTARGCACGACAAAGCATCAAGATGAACTAGGTTAAATTCATATTAATCAAAGTATGGTGAAAATTACTGCTTGATCAGGATGAGCTAACAAATGCAGCATGTTCTCATCTGTGGTTAAGTGGTGCAGTGGAAATATTGTCTTATTATCAAAACAGAGTGTTTTCCTTTGCCCAGAACATGTAAAAGAAATGAACCTGCTACTGATGAAGAACATAAACTTGTGGAGTTTCCAACCTCAAGCCATGCATAATACAAACAAAATATGACAAATATTACTGCATGTCTCAGTATATGTTAGTCTGATTTGGGAAAATTGCTAAAAAAATAGTGTTATGTTTTATTTTTAATAAAAGAAACTTTTTCACGATGATACAGAAGCAAATCTTCCATTATTCCTACACTTGACAACAGACCGATTGTAAACTTTTAGACAAAAAAAGCATTTCTAGGAATTTTGTCTTCTGTTGAAATGGAATATATTTTGCTGCCAGCTCTCTGAGGCAGCGGCTCTGGCCCTGCACAGCCAAATCCAGGATGCAAAAGACAAACCACCAAAACTTCTAGTGCATTTACTACTGCTACTACAACTTATATTATGAAGGAGAGTAAAATGTCTTTAATTCTCAGTCTGCAGGTGTACAGGTAGCTTAAACTTCAATTTATAATTCATAAGCAGGAAGCTCTGATAGGAAATAGTCCCTTCCACTGCAATTCAGTGACTATTGTTTGGGCTGGTGTGTTTGTCTCTTAAACAGAGGAATCATGAAATGTTCCTCATTTTGGAAAGTATGGAGACTGACAGCACTGTGCTGCCCTGTTTGGTGTCTAGGAAAAGGAAGTGTGATATAGACAGTTATAAGGAAAACAAGCAGAAAAGTCAAGTAACTACTTAAGGAAGAAGCTGGTGGCTCTAAAATGGGTTCAAGTATGAACTCTCTCCAAAGCTGTCTGTAAAGAAACTTGGACCATGGGCAAGGAGATTGCCACTTGCTATTTGTTCCTACTGCACTGTGCAAATCTTGCTAGAATTTCTGCAATTCTTGGGAGCCTCTCAGCTGTGATACATTACGAAAACACTTCAAAAAGATGCTGGAGCTTTTTCAAAAAGAAGAAATAAAGTTTCCTTTTACAAGAAGGAGCTAGAACTGGTGTCTATAATGCACTGCAGGATATATTGACATATTAGAAAYACCATTTAACATTCCATCCCTGTCTAAGGAGTCTCAAAGATTCATCTGTCAGTGTAGATACATTGCACTGTAATACAGATTGCATTGTAACACTGTTGGCATGTCACTTGTTTTGGCTAATTGAACAGCCCTTCATCATATATGTTTGCCACTTCTCTGTTAAAATATGCCTTAGTTATTAGTTAATGGCTTACGGACAGACAGCAGTGCCATTAATTAACATTACTAGCCATTATAGTAAATCAAATCAAAATTACTCAGATGATATAAAAACTACTACCATTSAGGACAGTATTCTAAGAAAATGTAATATTAAATAAATTACAAATCACAACTKAGCAGCTTTTTGAGTAATTCAGTCAGAACAGTAACCATAAAACAAACAAAAACCCAAACAACTCAGTTTTGCCATGGAAAAGAAAGATTCCTGTGTGCTCTTGTTCCCTTGGTCCCTTCCCTGGTTTAGGGTAGCAAATCAGGAGGGTTGTGCATTACAATAGATCTTATAGCTGTCAAAATCTATGAAAAAAATGAAAGCTGCATAGTTTGTCAGTGTACATAATAGAACCACTTTTCAAATGGTCTATAGCTGCTGAAATGCCCTAGACTGACATTTGAAAGAAGAAAGCTGGGAGGAATAAGCCAAAYAAGGTTATTAATTTTAAACCAAGCCAGTTACATTCTAGTTGTTCTTCGTTTAAAGGAAAATATATTTATTTGATCTCACCTAGGATTAACTAATGYGGTTTTTCTTCACTTCTGTTAACCTTCTTGGTGCACAGCAGTAAAGGGCTCTCCTTATGAAAACAGATTATGGCCAGACATGATTTCTTTGAATTCAGTTTGAAGGCAATAAAATATATGTTCAGACATTCTTAACATTTAWAGGAGTAACTTGAAGTTTGACTATTGACTTACTGTACATGTTCTTTTTTCTGATTATTATATAACTATTATATGAAAATATTTTTAAATTCTAAGCAGTCATATGTTACATAYATAAGGAATAAAGGACTTTCCAAAGCATAACTGTGCTAGGTAACAT